TATGTAGAGCTCATGCAAAGCCAAACACGTCAGCTTACTCAGCGGCCCGCTAATATCAAGCGCTGACGACTGGACGGCGCCGGCCCGCTCCAGCCGCGTCTTGCTGCCCAGCAGGGCGTGACAAACTGGACAGAGGCAACGCGAATCAGAAGCGCTCGCAGCCGGCGCGTCATATTCGGCATTCGGGGGGAGGGGGAGGGGGAGGGGAGGGGGCGGCTCAGAGGCTGCCGGTTCGGTTACGTCCACGCGCCGCCTCAGGCCTAAAGCTTCATTCCCCCACTGTGGGTGGGGGGCCGACCCGCGATAACCTCCCGTTCCCCAACAACATGCTAGTTCTCACGAATACCGCCAGGCGGCGACGCCGCGCCAGTATCGGTCCACGCCATTCCCGCAATTAGCCCCATGATTCCGTTTTCGTGAGAGCACCCGCTACCAACTGAGATGCTAAGGCACCAGCCCAGAGCCGGTAGCACCTGACGCGTGGCGGGCTTCAGCGCAAGCCTACACTTCTAGGGCCTGGTTCTCACAGACTGACCGTCCACCGAGGTGGCAGCCTGTGACGTCTCAGGTAAGTGCCTCGCACGTGTTTGTCGAGAACGCCTGGGAGTCCAAACATGAGCAGCAAGTAAAATAAGCTGAGTCGGCCCATGGAGACATACAGTGCGCAGCAATGGCGCACTTAGATACTACTTCATTGCGGCATGATCGGCATGTTCTGTTGTTGATAATCTCGCTATCGAGCACGCTATGCACACGTGGTCGGGAGCTGCCGGCATGCCCGACGTACAAAACTGTACACAGCGCGTCGACTGTTGCTAGGTGCTGCTATGTAAACAACCACGGCTTATTTGCAAACAATCACACTTACTCCGCCTCTCCGGCGAGTAAGGAACCGGATTTGCCCGTGACGTCACAGGTGAGTCCGGTGGATAAGGCACAGGTCGAACGGGCTTACACGACGACGGGGACACGACTTCCACTTGCCGATGAAAAACGGATACCTGGTATTCTCAAAGTCCGGCTATGGTCAGCCCGGGCACCTCACCAAACCCCATGGGGTTGACCCGGGGCGGGATGCCGGCGCTGGGGAGCCCTGCCTCCTACTCACCACCAGCCGACGTCCCCTGGAGGGAAGCGAGACCTCAGCGGGGGACGATCCCGCGCCACTGGAGACGATCCTGCGCCACTACAGACGATCCCAAGCGGCTGGAGACGATCCCGCGCCACTGGATACGATCCTAAGCGGCTGCAGACAATCCCAAGCGGCTGGAGACGATCCCGCGCCACTGGAGACAATCCCACGCAGCTGGAGACGATCCCGCGCCACTGGAGACGATCCCGCGCAGCTAGGGACGATCCAACACCACTGGAGACGATCCCGCGCAGCTGAGGACGATCCAACACCACTGGAGACGATCCCACACAGCTGAGGACGATCCAACACCACTGGAGACGATCCCACACAGCTGGGGACGATCCAACACCACTGGAGACGATCCCACACAGCTGAGGACGATCCAACACCACTGGAGACGATCCCACACAGCTGAGGACGATGCTCCACCCCCGGTGACGCTCACCGCCGGTGCGGCGGCGGGGGGGACGGCCGGTCTGGTGGCGGTCCAGCGCGGGCGCCGGGAGCCGAGTCAACGCTCGCCGCGCCGCCTTCGGCCGCCGCCGCCGCCGCTGCGGCCTGCTGCAAGCGAGCCGCGCCGCCGGCCGTTCTGCACGCGCCCGGTGCCACAGGAGCGCGCTCAGGGGCCGGCCGGTGCGGGGCGGCCCCGGTGCAGCCGGCTGCCGCCTCTGCCCGCGACCGGGAACCGAAAGTGGGTTCGAGCCTGGCTACAGGACGCATGTTTCGCCGCTCGCCGGCGCCAGCGGCGTGGAAGGCCGTGGCGGTGGTGGCCAGGGCACTGGGTGTGCCATGAAGTAACGGAACGGGCACGGAGGGGAGGAAGGGGTAACGGCGCGAGCATCGTGAGGACGATTCCGAGCAAACCGTCTCACAGTGGGTCCCAGTTCACAAATGTAGGAAACTCACCCCACCACTTACGACCCCGTCTCCTAACTTCCCTGTTTATTCTATACTCACCTCAAAAGCATATTGGTGCCGCCTAAGCTGCCAGTTACAACGAGACTGTCCTCACACTTTACAGCATCGCCGAGCATCGCACCTCTCGCTCACCCAGCCGACGGCCCGCTGTCGCTTGCGAGCAGCCCACCGCCCGGCCCGCCACGCACACCGCGCGTCGCACATGGCCTGTGGATGGTCTGCGCTATCAGCAGCCGACAGACGCCTCGCCCGCACCGGACGTTTCGACGCGCACTCTGGCGTGAACGGAAGCGAAGGGCACTCCGCCAGTGAGCCATCAACGTGGACCGTCCGCGGAAGGGCACTCCGCCAGTGATCCATCAACGTAGACCGTCCGCGGAAGGGCACTCCGCCAGTGAACCATCAACGTGGACCGTCCGCGGTTCACGGACAGCGTCCAACGCACGCGACACGGACGTGACTCGCCACGCGACACGGACGTGACGCCGCACAGCTGCCGGTCACGTAATGGTCACGCCCGACGCTCGCAAGGCTGATTGGTGGCCCATGTGATGACGACGATGATTTGGTGTGTTCGGGCGCGCCGGCAGCGCGGAGGTCCTGCCGCGCCAAGTGGTGCGCGTGATGACCGCAGACTGCCCTAAATCCGACCGTTCGGCGCCGCACGTGTCCGGCCAGCGCGCGGTCGCGGCCTGGCCGCCAATGGGAGCGGATTTAACTGGCCCGACGTTACTCTGGTTCCTGGTCGAAGGTCGAGGGGAGGGGAGCGGGCACAGATCGAGAGTCAGCCGCGATCCGGCGCCCGGCGAGGGACGGCAATGCCGACCAAGCTAAAACCTGCCCCCGGAACTGAGACCAGTCGCCACGAGAGTTCGCGCACGAGAGTAGACGTGGACTGGCGTGGGCTGTACGCTAGTAGATGAGATAGCAACGCCAAGCGGCGAGTGGTGCAATAGAAAAAAATCAGGGGTCAGCGAACCAGCAGCCCACCAAGCCAACAAGTGGCTAAATCTCCAGCCGTCCCAGACAAAGAGTACTCCATCGCCCTCCCGTCTTCCCTGCGTCCGTGCCGTCCCGACACGCGCCGCCGCACGGTGCGCAGGTGGTCGACCCGAGCGTGAGTCACACGAGCCCCGGCCCGCCAGCCGTGTCGCCCCCGGCGCCCGTCGGCGCGTGGCGTCGGACCACGCGGCGGCCGCGCGGCGTCGGTGCTCGTCGACGCCTAACAGCACGGTGTGCGGAGCGGCGGACGATGCGCGGGCTCCGTTGGAAGCGTGCGGTTTGCGCAGCTCGTGACGTCACAGTTGTGAGAGATCGCCATCGCATTCCACGAAGAGCAGCGTGAATTCTCAGCCGGACTCATCCTGTGTCGCATCGTGGTGTCCCGATGCTATTCGGTGGTAGCAACGCCACCAACGATTACATGCGCGAAAGGAAATCGTTTGCGGGGAATCTACTCAGCTGAAACGACGTGATGATTGTTTTCCATAAACACAGATAGTCATGACATGACGGACTTGTCACGCGTGAGCCACATAAAACCTACGTAAACATGGTCTAGTTTGAACCAACTTCGGTTTATCCCGTGACCTACGGCCGACTCGAGCACCCTCCTCTACTCCGGCCCGTTCACCACGTCCTGAACAGGCGAACATTCCTGTAACTGTCCTGTGCAGCTTTTACAAGTAGACGGGAACCGCTCATAAATCTACTTTGGTTGTAAGGGCAAAGGTGCTGCTTGCGTGGTTATAACGGGATCGTTACTCAATCCTGCAATTTCGTTATTTCATATGGAGAAAACAGATGCACAGCAAGTTTGTAGGCGCTTATGCTCAGCAAAAAAAAAAGTTGAGAAGGCTATTATTACGGGCACAACACGCCGGTATGACCATGCTTCACTGAATCTAATCGTGTTGCGATTGTCAAGGAACCATGATGTGTGGTCGTCGTCAGAACTAACCGCTCGTATCTAATACTGCGTCACCAGCAGGGTATCCACAGGAAACAACACGGAAAAGTGAGACATCTCCGCAGTTTTGTTGTTATTAGTCATGAAAACATTACATCAAATCGTCGTTGGTGACATCGGAGCAACACGCACCGCGCCATGCACGTTTCTCGCGATGACAACGGTGGTCCGACCTCAACGGCGGGAAAAAAGTGATACAGTGGATACAGCAATACAGAAACAGTGGTTTCCACGCACAGTATGATGTGGCTGGTGGCATCTATGGGGCTGGACTCATCAGCATTTCAAAGGCAACCTGATTTGGCCCAATCTCTGTAATACACATGCTACAGATCTGGGAAAATATCGGCTCGGATTTCAACCCCAATTGCACCATGGCCTACAAGCACTCATGTGGTCTCTGCACTTGCCAGTGCTCCATAAAATGGTGAGTGAAGATGTGGGTTGAATTACCCTTTCACAAAAGATGCTTGGATGATGTAGTAAATCACAGTGCATAGCTCTTACTGACCTGATGAAAATATGCCCATCTTGTCAGCTAAGGCAATGCTCAGCACTTGAGCACAGCTTGTTGGAATAAATTTTGGCTTCTTTAAATTCATTTTGGCTTGTTTAAATCAGTCTCAGATCTAAGCATTATTTATTTTCTAAGATGATAAATGAGAGCTTGTTGTACTGGGACATCAATAGGATATTGTGAAATTTATATAAGAAGTGTAGATTTCATCTAAAAAAGACATGGATTCTCACTCACATTCCAAGGCCACAAAATTTGCAGAAGCTTTTCTCATTTCCTACTGCTGGCTACATGTCAAAATATTTAGGATATGGTCAGCACAATGTGAGCAAAAACTGGTCAAGGTCAATGGTCACTCTGTGATAGTTTACAAGTGGCAAAAATCATGAAACCAGCCCCAAATACCTATTGCATAAGCTTACCAAACCAGCCAGACAGCTCATGCTGCACAAGTTACTCACAATAGCTGACTTCTGATGATGGTGTCTGGTGTAGGATCCTATATGGTGGAGGCCTTGTGTCAAACACTGAGTCCATTGTTCCCACCAAAAGTGATGAGAGCCCCCTGGTTCCATGGCCTTTCCTCTTCTGAAGGACAAAGTATTGGTTGGATCGCTCAACCACCCTGTGGACAAGCATAGGTCTGGTGTGAGTTTAACCAAAATACACTTGGGAGTATAGACATGATAAAGAATACCATGCAATGAGAAGAAGAGGCAGTGATTTCCTAGAATTAAGCTGGCATTAAATCATTCATTAACTTTAAGGCCGTATGAATGAATAATGTTATGAAACTGTGCGCAGATACATTCTGTATGTAGCGCAAATACAATGTTATTCCACAAACTTTGTTTTTCCACAAAACCTATGAAAAAACAAAGTTGCATTCATCACCTTATTATTTTGATGACATGCCAAAGCAGATCAAATACTTACCACAGGGCATTGGCAATCAGCACCTCTTGAGGTTTAACCCACATGTTGCTGTTGCACTAATGCATCACTGAAAGGACAGCAGGGATAATCACACAGAGCCAGATTGGGGACACAATTTACAGTGCATTGCTTTAACAGGAATTATTGGATGTTGGTGCAGCTATCAACATAGCAGGAACAGTGAAGAGTTTGTCACTCACAGGAAAGCTAAATTAGGAATGGATAAATTACTTCAATTACAGGATGACTGATTATTTTCATGCAAGCACAGATGCAAAAGCTGCAGAGTTTCAATGAGGCAAAAAAGCATGTAGGTCGGCTACCAAAAGGTTGATTCACACCTTAAGCCCCAAAACATTACTGGTCAAAAGCAGCTATGAAGGAAACAAACCGCAACCCAGCAGCAATATTGATAGCCAAATAAGAGCTACCGTAGTTGTATTGCACATGAAACAGCAAACAACAGCTCCCTAGTGTTGAAAACAACGCCGGCGCAGTACCGGTACAGCGATTGTTTACAATTCAAGGCAACGGCAGAGGATTCAGGGACAAAGCGAGCCAACACACTCACTCAACACCAACAGCGCAACAGCTCACTGAGCGCTGTCTGCTGCTATACTCGACGCGTAAACAAGCCAGTTTCGTAATCGAAGCCTACTTCCATATGATACCAAATCCACACACAAAAGGATATTTGTACTTCTCCCTACATGTGAAAAAGTTTTTCTTTGCTTGTTTTCGCAATGCCCAACGGCGGATCCATAACCCCGCCTTGAGGAAATGAGGAGCAAGGCTGCCTTAGAGGGGCTTAGTTCCAAAATTTTGCCCTGATATCCATGAGCTCATTGTATTTTGTTTTCTATTGCCTATAGGTTTTTTTGAACAGCTTTCCTGTCAAAAATGTCTTACATTCTTTTCAAAGTCAAGGCATGTGCCTATTTTGCTTGAATTCTGTAATCCTAGGGACTATGAACCAATTGAATGCTCTCTACGAATCCGCCCTTGGCGATGTGTGCCACTCCCCCATAAAATCTGGAGACGGACTACACGACAAGCAAAGCCTGTTGACAACATATGCTCCGGGCCTGTAAAACCAAAGAACAACAAACCTTCACCATTCGATGCCGCTTAGTTCAAGACGCATTGTACATAATAAAAAATGATAAACTGCATCAGGTTAAAGGTTACCAGAAGTCCCCCAAACCAGAAAAATCAACTTGCAGACAGCCCGATGCCAAGCCTATCAGACAGGTCACCACAAAATTTCCACTAGTCGATGTATCACGACAGATATCCTATCCTCTTCAGAACATCGTGGTTTTGGGTCAGGTAAAGGGTCACGTAAAACGTCCAAGACCGAATAAGATATTTTGCACACAACTCATTGCTCCGAGTCATAACTGATATTTTATTCTCCCTAGAAGATGGTTTCCTTGGACCATGTCAAAAGTCACCAACAACGCCCGAAACTACCAGAAATTAGTTTATTGATAAAGTCTATGCGACCGATCAAAACCAAGCCTTCACCAATGTTTTATGAGCTTTGGCCTGACCAAAGGTTACCAAATTCTGGAAATGAGATGATCCTGACCATGGCAGATTGATCGGTGAAGGCTTTGCGTTGATCTGTCGCATAGGCTCGGAGCACGAATTTGTCTGGCAGACTGCTTTTTTCTATTTTTGGCGTTTTTTGGCGACCTCTAACTTGACCTATGATCACCACGTTTAAGCGATAGGTTATCGACCAAGAATAATCGAATGATGAAAGTTTGGTGTCGATTGTCCTGGAGGCTCGGAGCAGGTGGTCGTCAGTATGTTTGGTGGTTCCTTAAGATCTTTCCTAATATCTACCCCTCTGAGACAATGGGAGCTGCCGTGCTGATTTTTCAAGTCACTGTGTGGTGTTATTTTTCGACATCTGAAAGGCCAATATTCCGTTTTATCGAATTCTATGATTAAGCACCGAATGCTTCTGCTTCCTTCTTCTACCCGGCTTCGGATTCGACTTCGGCTTCAAGTCATCATGTTGGCTTCAGATTCGGTTTAGGCAGTATATTTGTGTGTTATCCATGTGGTGCGTTCAGGGGTGCAGTCAGAGTCTCGTTAGGGAGGAGATACAGGTTGAAAAAGGTACAGACAAAAAGTTCCCTGATAGTGAAAGCCCCCCCCCCCCCTCCCTACAACCAAAATGATCTTGTTTGGACCACTTCATCTTGGGGCACGATTTTTTTGTTTGATCATTCTTTTTACCTTTTCTAACGTAAGTGAAAGCCAGAAGTCACCAAAAGTTGTAACTCTTTAAACTTGAGTATCAAAAAGTTATGTAAGATAGTTGTGAGCAAACGCGTTTGCGAGTCTTTGAAAAAAAGACGATGCCTGGCGTTACAGCCTCCGTGGTCTGCGTGGCGTCGGCCCTGCGGCTAACAATAAGCGATAGTGATAGAGTGGACAAAGACCACGGCGTGTCTGGAAAAGTTACCTTTGGACGCTTTAGAACATCAACAAGACCGCTTAAAAGGTTGTCCGGGCACATATTTTACTTGTGCGATCTTTGGATAAAGGATACGATCGGATTAGCGGTTACAGTACCGCGAACTGGTAATAAAATCTGGTGGTGGAATTGAGAAGAAAGGATAAAATCTATATTTTTCGTGTTGCTCTAGTCGTCTTTCTTTTCAGAGGGAAAATTCAAAAGAATCCCGGTGAAATATACGCCCAAGTCTAATCTTTGAATGGTACGCATTGATTTTACAATATTTTCGAAAGCGTTATTTCCTGACGGCCGTTCTCGTGCGTCTGGCGGAGGCCACCTGGTGTTGGCCGCATCGACCAATTCCACTCGGTTTGACGCAAACTGCATCCTCGATTATCAGTGGTTGCTCCGGAGATGGCGAGCACGCGGGCTGACAATCTTTTCACGTGATTTGTTTCACCAATCGATCCCGCATCAGGATAACGTCCTCAGCCAAACAAAGGCTGGCCCTTTTTATTTGAGACCTCATTTCTACCCACCCCATGGAATGTTGAGCGATCCCTTACCTTTTCCGGGCAAGGGGCCCCGTGGGTAAAATGCCAAGGGGTATATTATCTTTCGCAGTCAGGGGCTGAAGGGCGATTTCGTCCTAGCACGAGGTGCCCTACGGCTATCGTTCTGGCGGCACGGGAAGGGGTAATCTGGTTATTTGGATGCCTTTAGAGAAATGCATCATACCTTGGTCTCCTCCCTAACGCGGGAGGCTCTCTGACTAGGGACGTTGGCCCCGGATTGACGCCTGGGCTCGCCTGAAACCCTCGCATTTCATCAGTTTGCTGGTAGTTCAGGTTTTATGTGAGCTTGGGCGGCGTGACAGGCCAAACGTGCGCAGGCGCGCGAACTCCTTCTAAAGCAAAACATGCAAACATGCAACGTGCTCTTTGTTTCACATGAAAGCAGCACGGACATTTAGCATTTTGAGAAATTCGCCCGCGCACTTATCTGGAATGCGGCCATTTTTGGGAACCGTGGGCTTCCGTGACACTGGAAAACAACGCACCGAGGATACACGGCATGATTATGTTTGCGCAGGCGTTCATGTTTGTATGCATAAGGCTATCCATACTCCAGGAAAACACGAATCTGTTGTTTTTCTACCGTGCTTATATAGACTACAGCCGTATATCTAGACTTTTCAGATCTCGGTTGTCCGATCCAGCGGCGGATCCAGGATTTCGTCAAGGGGGGGACGCAACATTGTGAGGCCTCCTCCAAAATAATATTCTCGCATTCTGGTACTTAAATTGTAAGATAGATAGTGTAGCGTGTATATATATATATATATATATATATATATATATATATATATATATATATATGTATATATATATATATATATATATATAGGCAATAGAATAGAATAAAATAAGAATAAATGCGCGAACAGACATGAGTATGCGCAGTCCTCTAAAGCTAGGCGTGCTACGTATGCGCATGCATGGAGCTCGGCTATTTTCTCAGATTATGTTAAATCCCGTGATTTTGAGCCCAAGCGCTTCGAAAAAGTAAACAAACTAACTCAAGTTGGGTGCTAAATACCCCCAAAACCAGGCACAGACTAAATTCCTAGCATATTTACGGCCAGACGGCTGGACGATGTAATCAGCTGAAGGTTGGTGACTAATGCAAAATTTTACTTTGTTTTAAAACGCTACAAAATATTCTAGCTCTCAGAATATACTAAGAACGTGATGCGTAAGTATAATGAGTGGCGATACTCAAATGCCAGGGAAAATGACACATATGACGTCGGTGGCACGTAGAATTACTTCGGACAGATGCGCGTAAAAATTCATCAGCGCCTATCCAACTGCTGCTCTAAGGCTAAGACACCAAGGTCAATAGGGACAGAATCTGAGCGATTATGGGTGCTGCATTAGGCCAACAAAGAGACCCCCCTCAACAAGTATAGGCTTCTTAAGGCGAGCGAGAAGAACCCAAGGCTAACGTGGAGGGCCCTAAACAATTGGAAGTGCCCTGGCAGGCTGACATATAAGGCCCCGGCCAGAGCACAGAACACTTGGATAATTCTTCTTTGAACAAAGAAGAATTACCCAAGACCATGAATTAATACCCCTGTGAGATCAAGAGTGCCAGTGCAGGTTAACAGAAAGAGCATCTATAAGACTAAGGATCCCTGCGCACCGCGTGTCTCGGTGCTTTACATTACATGAGCCCTAGCAACAGTACGAGGCCCCCTGAGTAAGTGGAAAGAACCAAGGGCTCATATAAAACTCCCCTGCGCGGCGAGAGTGCCCTGGCATAAGGGGCCCTGGAAAAAGCATATAAAGCCTTTCGGGCGAATGGGAAGAATCTGTGGAGAAAAAAAAACCCTGATCGATCAAGAGTGTCTGGGCATGGAAACAGGTAGAGCCCTAACAGCAGCGTTAGGCAGATCAAAATCAGCGTTAAAAGAGATCAGGGGCAGCGTGGAAGGTTCTTTGGTGATCAGATTGACCTGGCAAGTGGACATGTAGGGCCCGAGCAATAGCATAATGCTTCTGGACAGCGTTTTCAGCCACAACATTTCTCTCAATCAACACCTTCTCAATCAGCGACGACTGAATGTTGTTTATGAACTCTAGTTTTGCTTGCAATCGTTCTTGGTCGTCTATAAGCCCAAAGACGTCTTTTTTTATCTTGTCCGTTCGGTCGGTTATGGACCCCTTTGCAGCCTATGGGTCTTTCGCCATGGTCCATGGGGGCATCTTCCCGCGCAGATGGGGCCCGTCAAGTACATAGAGTCATCCATTCAAATAAGAAGTGTCCAAAGCACAGCATGGAAGGCGCCGGCGTGGTCAAGTGTGCCCGAGCCGGTTAACAGATGCCTCCCCCCCCCCTGCCGCGACAAGAGTGAAGGGCCCTTCATCCAAATAGGAAGCACCCGAGACCCAGCGTAAATGGCCCCCGAATGACTGACTGAATGTGCCCAAGCAGCTTATCAGAAGGGGCCCGACAAGAGCGTAAGTCTTGTCGGGACCTTAATATTCAAATAAGAACTGCCCAAGACACAGCGCGGAGGGCCCCGAAAGGTGGGGTGCACCCGAGCAGATTGTCAGATGGCCCCCGCCAGGAACGAAGGGCGCCAAATCCAAACACAAAGAACCGATGTACAGGGCCCCCGAACAACTTAGTGTGGCCGAGGGAACGAACAAAGGGGTCTCCGACAAGTGTAGGGCCCTCCATTCAAGTAGGAAGTACCCAAACCCAATGAAGAGGGATCCCGAACGATCGAATGTGCCCGGCCTGGTAATCGGATAGGCCCCGACAATAGCGTAGGGCCACATTGAAATAATAAGTACCCAAGACCCAGTGTGGAGGGCCCCGAAAAGATCTAGTGTACCCGAGCAGGCTATCAGATGGCCTCTGAGAGGAGCGTGCGGCCTCACACTAAAAATCCTAATGTGCAGGGCCCCCAATAATCCAGTATGCCCGAGCAAATTAACAGATGGGTCCCCGACAAGAGCGCAGAGCCCAAAACAAGTGATAGAGAATTGGAAGCGCCCTAGACCAATGAAGAGGGTTCATGAGCATATCACGAGTGTGGGCAAATTAAACGAGACCAACGTAAAGAGCCACAGAGCAACCGAGAATACCCCGGTAGGTTTACATATGGGGCCCAGCTCAAGCGTTCAGAACCTTTCTGGCGAATGGAAAGAATCCGTGGAAGGTCCCTGATTAACCAGAGCGCCCTGGCACGCTGGCAGGACTGGCCCAGCAACAGCGTAGGACCCTCTGGGCAAATGCAAATACATCAAGGGTTCCATGAAAAGCTTCTTCACGATTGGAATGGCCCTGCAAGTAAGCATATAGGACCCGTGGGCGGCATGATAACTCTTAATATTCCACATAAACAACTTTTTTAACAATGAAATACTTTTTGTCTACTTGTGAGCCCTTCATTTTTGCTTGCGACTGTTCTTGGTTGCCTTTAAGTCCAAAGTCGGCCAATTTTGTTGCGTTTTGTGTTTTAAAAAACTGCAGCTGTTCAGCCGACTATGAGCCCATTCGAAGGCCGAGGGGGTGACATGGCCCGGGTCGCCCTCTAGGCTCCCCCCTGGCACGATCGAATCTGCCCTGAAATTGACTGCATTGTATGGCAGGCGGTTTCGACTGTGCATTTTTCATGTATGCACAAGTTCATGGCTGCTCTACATATATGTACGGGCACCAACCGCACAGATGTATCAAAAATTTCGCGCCAATGCATGTTCCTGGGACCCAAGCCGAACAGTGTTGGGCGGGGAAACACGTGCAACCGTGCAAACGGCAGTAACGAATGTTTTACAGACTACAACGCACACGCGCGCGTCTGCACACACACACACACACACACACACACACACACACACACACACACACACACACACACACACACACACACACACCACACACACACACACACACACACACACACACACACACACACACACACACACACACACACACACACACACACACACACACACACACACACACACACACACACACACACCACACACACACACACACACACACACACACACACACACACACACACACACACACACACACACACACACACACACACACACACACACACACACACACACACACACACACACACACACACACACACACACACACACACACACACACACACACACACACACACACACACACACACACACACACACACACACACACACACACACACACACACACACACACACACACACACACACACACACACACACACACACACACACACACACACACACACACCACACACACACCACACACACACACACACACACACACACACACACACACACACACACACACACACACACACACACACACACACACACACACACACACACACACACACACACACACACACACACACACACACACACACACACACACATATATATATATATATATATATATATATATATATATATATATATATGTATGTATGTATATATATATGTATGTATATATACTATTAATAGCTTTTTTCTCTCTCTCCCACTCTTTGAAATGCTTCACATGAGAACAATAGATTAGACAACAGTAGACAGCTGAAATGGCGCCAAGGAATGTGCTGCGTTTCTGTGGGATCAACCGCGCAAAATTGTCATATTAAAAAAAAAACGCTAAATACGATACAGGCGCTTCGGAAATCCTTCCCAAAAGGGTTGAAAGTGGCCGCATATCTTGATGGTACGGAGTTCCACACCATTTGCACTCGTGTTTCCACGCCCACACATCATGCGGCGAACCCGACGTGGCTCGAAGGCTATGAGCGCCAGTAAAAGACCACCAAGATGGCGCCAGACGGCTTGTCTCCAGCGCACCCTGGATTGCGGACGACTTTAACGCTGGAATGAAAATGCGGTGGCCTGCACGTGAGATCCTAAAAATGGCTTTGACCAGCTCACTTGAAGAGAGGCTATCTATCATAAGTGAGCTCAAGCTGCATTAGTTTGATATATACGTCACACTGGGTTTCGTTTACGCGCCACTCGGGAAGGAAGGGAGTCGAGCGGATGCAACATACGAACCTTTCACTTAATTGTGTTCTTATCAGGATACTTTAATTAGGTAGGTGATGGTTACGGGCACAAACTGTGTGATGACTTTTACCTCTTTTTGATATGCTCATTTGTATTACCGTTGCTATGACTTGCTACTTGTCTAACACCCAAGGGTTACAGTTGGTGTTACATAAATATGGGTTGCGTGATATTATATACTTATTACGGACTGATTTCGCATCTTGAATCACTTGACTCCTTGACCCTACACCATGTTATCAAGTAAAGATGACCTACAGAGCCTCGTAAGGCAAAGGTTCATGGTGAAACGAAGGTAAGTGCATACCTACCAGAACTTTGCACACAACTATCGGACCCTGACAACTCTTCCAAGCTTTCCACGGTGTCTCTGAAACTTAGCTCCCACGAGAGGGACCATTTGGACTAATTCCAAGACGCTTTAGCACAGTTTGTAAAGTCGTCGATTAAATCAGCAGAATTGCCCTCCAAATAGCTATATCTCCAGTGGTGTATCCCAGAGGCTGGGGCCGAACAGTCCCGAACTTGCCTCTGCACGTCGCCGTCGTCCCAATGGAGACAATGGTTTCGTGTCATGACCCGAAAGATGCAGCGCATCCCGTTATCTCGTCGGTTACGCCCTCAGTACCAGTCACGCGCCGTGACGGGGCCGTCCGCCCATGTCCTCCCACCCCGTCATTGATTGAGCTCTACGACGGCTGGAGCCGTCTGGCGCGCATGCGCCAACAACAGAGGCGGGCACGCACCAGTTGCTCGGCGTCTTGCCCGGGGGCGGTCGCGTGGCGCGCGGAGGGGCCGGCTGAGGTGAGTGCATTCCGGTCCGGTTCCCCAGCCGTCCGCGATGCGGGGAGTTGCGCTCAGCTTGTGACCGTGAGACTGTTACGTGCTCTGCAAAGTCAAAACGGAGGTGCCCCCAACAGTGCGAGATTGTCAGCAACGAACTCGTTAAGAGTTACTATTGTTGCCGCAGCGGGACTGCTCCCGCCAGCATATGGCGTTGGCGATGAGTTTTTCATGCCGTGCAGGACAATGTCCGCGATGAATTTGTTTGGACAACATACGCGATTGTCGGTGACGTTCTCACCGTTAACATTTTGTCCTTCTGGTAGGTCGTAAGCACCAAAGATGTAGGATCATATTCAGCTGGTGCGAGCTTAGCAGCTCGCGGCGTAACGTTCCAACCGGTAGACCCATAAATCGTAAAGTAAAGCAGACCCATAAAAATTATCCCCATTCCAAGCAACGGAGAAGCCAATGGTAGAAATAAGACTAGTAGATGTTTAAGGATTAATTACAGAAGTTCTCGGAATAATCAAGGCAACACCGGCGTCCAAAAAAGTGGGACGGAAAATCCCATTCTGAGGTCGATCCTTTCCACACATCAGCAGAGCTACGCAGTGTTAGCTTTCACATAACGTGTACGGGCCACGGCCCCCCCTTTCCGCGGCCCTTACACCCTGGCAGGGGAAACTGCCGATAAATACAGATACCTACCTGAAATAGATGAGCCACACGAAAGCGGCTGACACATGCAATAGATCACTCGATAACTCGCGGTCTCCCCAGTCCAGGACTCCCAACAGGTCCATGGTTCGTCGGTGCGGCCGCTACTCCATCTGAACCCAGACGCTGTGCGTCATCACCCGTCCCTCGCGCCCGCTTTATGGCAGTGCGGCAGAAACTTTTTTCAGGAAGGACGCATGCAGGGCCGGAACAGTCCCTTTGGGGCTGAAGGCCTGCGGATACCCCCGTCGCCAAACTTCAGCAATATTTTATTCAGATGCGCCTCACTGCTAACTGATGCGCCCATAGGTCTCGCTAGCTTAACCAGCGATGACAATGTGATGGAACCAAAGTTAACGCACTCACGGGAATCGCGCCCACCCCGGTATGTCCTTGCGGTGATATTCATCGAAGCACGGCCCAGGAGGCTCGGGCCCCGCAGCCAAAACCAGCAGTGACACTCGCGGAGCTCGGCTCTGCCCATCGCTAGCGGCTGCGGCGACCTCCCGACCGTAACGGGTCTCGGACGCCGCCACCGGTAGACCTTGGGCATGCCCTCTTACTTCGACAACGACGCATTTCGTACAGGCACGAGCCCAAAGACCCTATTATCGGCGCCGGTCACCCTCCTGCCCTGGCCTGCTACCTCCTGCAGCACCGCTGACCACGCGTGGCCCCGGCCTCCCACGTCGTCACCGTCCCCCCTCACCCCAACACCCTCTTTCCCTTGCGCCGGGCACTCGTCGCCCACAATGGTCCATCTGGTGGTCCGGTCTCCATTACCGACGCCGGTTCCCTCGGCAGCAAATACAGCTGGTCCCGGTCGGACTGCAGCCTGACATACAGTCGACAGACCCCGAGGCATTGGCCTCTGTCCTAGGCAAGTTGGGAGAGCGTTGACAGTTGGAAAGGTTGGTCGAAGGTTGAAAAGTTGGGCGGCCGAACTGGCGAAATTGGGCGTGCTTGAGTGGTGTGCCGTTCAAATAGTGATAATTTTGGTGAGACTTGGTGTGACCGCTTTTACACCCGCTACCTGACGCTCTCCGGCAATGGTTTCATCCATTTCACAAAACACTACGATAAAATGTTGGAGATTATTTATTTGCGACGCCTGAACGCTTGCAACCCACAGAACCGTGAGGTTAAGCCCTGAAGCACGGTCGTAGTTCGAGTGCCACTTTAGCACAGCTGCTTGACCTAGACCGCATACAAAAGCTAAACTGCCGAATAATTAGAGCGCAAGAGATGAACACATGGCACAAAAAACATATGATTCCAAAAAATGTGGGCTATGTATTCATTTAATTAAAGAATACATCCCTTTTGGTAGGTTCATTTTCTTTATCACCAGTGATGCAAGACAAAGCCCACTGTTGATGTGTGAAAATGAGCGATGTTCCGCTTTGCTGAATGAGGCTATCCTGCCATGAAAATCGGAACAGGGCGGGGGATTGGCAGGGTCAGGGGTACACTAGGCGAATTGATATTGTCGGGACGGATGGATTTTTCATGTCATAGAGGGACGGAAACCTTTGATGGACTGCTTTCCACTTCCTCGTTCTCTTCGTGCCCACGTTATCAGCAGCTTGAAACGGAAGAAAAATGTTGAGAATATTACAAGGTTTCCCCATTTTTTCCAAACTGATGACATAAAGTGGGCCAAACATTGCGAGCAGTCAGCATTTCGGGTTATATTGGACTAATCGGCTAAGGAACGGCCTCATCGAGCTGTTTTTGCGGACCCATACCCTGATACTTATCATTAGGGAGCCTCATCGAGCTGTTTTTGCGGGCCCATACCCTGATACTTACCATCGGAGAGCCTCATCGAGCTGTTTTTTGCGGGCCCATACCCTGATACTTATCATCGGAGAGCCTCATCGAGCTGTTTTTGCGGGCCCACACCCTGATACTTACCATCGGAGAGCCTCATCGAGCTGTTTTTGCGGACCCATACCCTGATACTTACCATTAGGGAGCCTCATCGAGCTGTTTTTGCGGACCCATACCCTGACACTTACCATCGGAGAGCCTCATCGAGCTGTTTTTGCGGGCTCATGCCCTGATACTTACCATCGGATAGCCTCATCGAGCTGTTTTTGCGGACCCATACCCTAATACTTACCATCGGAGAGCCTCATCGAGCTGTTTTTACGGACCCATACCCTGATACTTACCATCGGAGAGCCTCATCGAGCTGTTTTTGCGGACCCATACCCTGATACTTACCATCGGAGAGCGTACTCCGCTCCCGGTCAGACTTGCATTGCGTGCGAATTATTCGTGACATCACCACAAAAATGGAGTTGGTGGATGATTCAAGGCTTGCGGAGATTCCCGTGTAACGATGACTGTCCGGGGCACATTCAAGGGGACCGGAGTCCGGTCCAAGGAGTCCTGGGGACCGGGCCCCTCCTGAGTCCCGGATATTTAATTTTTTTCATTTTAGAGGACACTCGACAGAGTGAAATCGGCGAGATTCGTAGTCACGGACCTCCGGGCTCCTCCGTTAAGGAAATCCTGGCTGCGTCCCTGATGGCTGCGCCATGCCACGCGTGCCAAATCACACGAAAATATTCAAAAAAGGCATTGTGCCGATTGGTGAGGATTGTTTGTGATAACATTGTAACATACAATATTATGACCAATTTGCAATATCCCTCAAGAGCACAACCAGAGTGACTTAAAGGTAAAACGTCTTAAGAAATAACACCTCAGATGACGCTGCCCGACCTGACCCGACCATGACCTCGACCATGCTCCGACTCGACCCCAACCCTGATCCTGACCCGACCCCGACCCCGACCCCGACCCCGACCCCGACCCCGACCCCGACCCCGACCCCGACCCTGATCCTGACCCCGACCACGACCTCGACCTCGACCCTGATCCCGACCTAATTCAAGCCGTGGTTTGAGCGACCCAGTCCGTCGTAGCTGAATTAAAGTGCTCCGTGATTTCGACGAATTCATCGCGATATCGCAACGGTGAATAGAGCGACATATGAGTAACCAGGGCTTCTGCTGCACGTGACACGTACATTTGCGTGCGCTCACAGCACCAGTGTATTTCAGGTCAGGCCATGGCGAATTAAATGAACTACCTTGTCTCCCAGCATCCATGCATGTGTTCCATCACATTGGCACTGTACGTGACTTGGAAGACAAGTAAATTTTCCATGCCAGTGGAATATACAACTCACAGTTAAACGTGTGTTGTGTGTGTGTGTGTGTGTGTGTGTGTGTGTGTGTGTGTGTGTGTGTGTGTGTGTGTGTTTTGTGTGTGTGCGTGCGTGCGTGCGCGTGCGCGTGCGTGCGTGCGTGTGTGCGCGCGCGGGTGCAAGATCGCGCTGTGTACCTGGATGCAAAACCTGCGGGGTTGAATGCAGTCTCGAGCTCAAGATGAGGCGCGATGAATGTTATAGTGGCCGAAACCTGAGAATATTAAGCATTCTCTTTTGTCACGTTTACGGTATTTTGTCGACAAATCGTGCACTAAATTGGCCTGGCCTAAGAAGAATTATGAATTGAATCGACCATCATAAGCCTAGGGCATACCTTGCGAGAGATCGGAAGGATGTAACGACAGGCCTGATGAATAAACATGGGGCAGGCTCTGAAGCTACGAACAGTTTTCAGCATCGCAAGTTATTTCATGTGTCATCTGGTTCAGTTCCGAGTAGTTCTCTACTTACATTTGGTTGACTGTATGACCTGTCGGACATCGGGACCTTAAACCTAAGTTGACCTGATTTGAGCTAGTACCACCAACTATAACTCATTAGCAAGATGAACTGCTCACGTGGGTGCCGCGTGCGCGAACGTAAAAGAAACGAGAAGACCATTTCATTTGAAAACGATACTTTCGGTGGCTTGCATGGATGACTGTGGGCTCAGAGCAATTGCTAGGCAGAGATGCTGCGCGCACCCTGAACTCCCCACGTCAGATAAGCCAGTCCAGCCAGTGGGATGATTTGGATTCGGGTTGTTTGCCATACAAGACCGCGGAGGGTCTTGTGTGCAGTGCAGTGCTAAGGCACGGTCGCCCCGGGCCAATGTTGACCCTCGTTGGCCTGCTGACATGACCTGGACAGAGTGCGATGTTCTGTGTCAGACCTGCTGGCGCGGCACTGTGGGAAAAGCTTAAGGCCCCGCATCGCCGCTTTTGGACCGTTCGATACCGTTGTTTGAAGCGCCTGGCCAATCCTGAACCTGCTCGCCCCCGTGCCTCCTCGGGTCGGGAGCATCTAATTCCGGGGAGTGTAAGTGTTACGGTGTCGATCTGACGCATCAATACACGCTTCAACCGTAAATGATTCACTCGAATGGTTTAGACTCAGCCAGCCTGGCGTACCGTGAACGACTTCTTACTACAAGACTGTCTGTGAACGTGTTATGACTGCGGGGACAAGCCTGCGAAATCGCACCAGATTTCGTTGAAGGAAGTTTGACCACTGTGATTGCTGTGAGGTTAAGCTGTGCCAGAACGAACGTTTTTGAAACATGCTAGATGCTCAGAGCAAGAACAGCCACCAGTGCGTCGTTTTTATCAAATACCTGCTTCACTTTAAGTGGCCTGCTTACCATCGAGGCACACATTCGAACGTCACTGTTTGGAATTTTCGTTTAGTAGTAGATTTTCTTTGACAGTCAAGCAGTGTTTTAGGAGGCCGGCGGCGGTCAGACATTTTGCGCAGTAGCAGGCGGCCGGCGGCCGGCGGCGGTCGGACATTTTGTAGTGGCACGCGGGCGGTTCTCCCGAACGTTCCGACATCCCCCCCGAGGACAGTGAGTGCTGGCCAGGGAAACGCGGGCGGTTCTCCCGAACGTCCGGGCGTCCCTCCCGAGGGCAGTGAGTGCTGGCCAGGGAAACGCGGGCGGTTCTCCCGAACGTTCAGACATCCCCCCCGAGGACAGTGAGTGCTGGCCAGGGAAACGCGGGCGGTTCTCCCGAACGTTCCGACATCCCTCCCGAGGACAGTGAGAGCTGGCCAGGGAAACGCGGGCGGTTCTCCCGAACGTTCCGACATCCCTCCCGAGGACAGTGAGAGCTGGCCAGGGAATTGAAGTGTTGGAAGTGTGTGTTCAGTGAGTTTTCCTAACAGCCACCATTGGCTACTCGTTCCATTACGATGCAATTTTTCTGACTGGCTTTTGGTTTTTTCCTAACGCGTACCAAGATGGTCACATAGCTTCACCTCTGGCAGCACTGCATGCACTGTGTCGAATGAACTTTGGCGCACAAACTTGGACCGCTTTCTCGAAACACCCTACTGATCGCATTTCGTTCCCAGCAGTATTCATATCAAACTTCGACAAAAAAAATGCCTGTGTCGCTTGTAGCAAACTGAAGCTCCGTTTCTAAAGAATGTAATTCTTGTCACGTTCCGGAAAGACTTTCTGGGCCAGACGGTGAAGTTTTGCACCTTCTTTACGGAGTGGGACAGTTTTTATTGTCAGGTACATGCATAGTTGAACTTGTGCATGTATGGCTTGCGCCTGCCTGCGTTCCTTCGTGCTCTGCGATCCATGTAACCGGCCCGGCGCGGCTGTCTGAGGCGCTCCGAAGACTCATTCTGCGCCGTACGTTGCTGAAATAAAGTTACGGCATCATTTCATCCCAGCTACAAAAGAAATCTCGCTGAAGGCGAGGTTCATTTGGGGTCCGACGCCTCGGCCTCGCTCAATTTAGACTGCATCATGTTAAGGCATTGGACGAGGCCGCGCGGGGCTCTCGTCGAGGCATTTTCCGAGCGCAACGCCAGCGCTTCCAAGCGGCCTTTAGAGGCGGAGATTAACCCGATGCCGCCTGGGACGCCGGTTGTCGATGTCAGCTATTTGGCGAGGCATTGATCAATGCGGATTAGCCCAGTGCTTTTAGATTTGTCGTGGTGGTGTTTTATTCTCGCCGACAGTGATTGGCTGGGGTTGTTGTTTTATCCCTGTTAGCTCAGATTCAAATTGTCCTATCGCTATCATTTAAACGGCAAGCAGTAGCGCTGAGTCGGGGTTAAATTGGCATATTTCTAATGATCGACAAAGTTGCAACCATGCAAAGTATCCGAAAAGTCCTCAAAACTGCTTCACTACGACAGGAACCCTGTGGCTTCCACAATAATAATCTTCTAGGTATCCAAAATTGGTGCTATCCGATTGATCTTAGTATGATGGTACAATATATATGCAGTATATATATATATATATATATATATATATATATATATATATATATATACAATAACAGTCAATGCAGATGCGCTAATCACCACGCGACCGGCACTCTATCATCTATGTATACATAAATGCATATATATATATATATATATATATATATATATATATATATATATATATCCTGCATATGCATTTATGTATACATAGATGATAGAGTGCCGGTCGCGTGGTGATTAGCGCATCTGCATTGACTGTTAGGGGTTAATCCCTCCTCCCTCCCGACAGAGGGGCTTTCGTTTACATTACTTTAATAAGTGTGGGCGGTTGCCCTCCAAGCTCTGTGCGGAACTACTAGCACGACCATAATAGTGCAGCACTTATTCACAGAACAATGTTTGGAGGTGATTAGCAAGATATGTTGGGCGGATACCTGGTGATAGAGTTTATTTTGGTAATGTGTTATTTACTCGCCAAGATCACTCACATGTTGGAAGTATTGGCATGACCAACGACAGAACGTGATAATGATGGCAACGATTGTGGGGATCTTCTCCACTTGTTGCGCCAACGTGTCGTACATTAATATAAATAGCAACTGCGAAAGCCATGTGGAGGTCTCGCAGTTGCCACAATTACGCACTATCATCACTGATGACACCATAATTTGTGGCATGAAGGCACCCCTGGTCACGTACCAGACAAGTACCGGACCATCTCACAAATCGCGGTGTGGGAAAATCTCTCCTGTGAATAGTGGCCATTGCAACATTGGAATGCAGGTTGAGTGTATTTGCAATTGGATCGTTCGTCACTTAAACGTGTGAAATTCGTAGCGCCGTAATGCTCCTGCGGGTTTCAATGTATCTAATTTTATGTGAAAATATATATTGACTAGTCGCATCACTCTTTTCAGGTCGCCCGCATTCTCCAGGCCCCTTTATTACTTCGAGCCCTGGAGGCCTGAAGAGTGGAACCAATCAGGTGCGAGCGCGGACATGACGCGGCGCATTGAGACCGAGGATTCGCTGCTGGACGATGACGTGTTCGAACCGGAGCAGTGCGGCGGGTCGTCAACAGGTGGCGCCAGCTCCGCCAACAGCCGCTCGGAGCGCAACAGCAGTGCCACCAGCGGCGGTGGCGGTCAAGACTCATCGAAAACGCACTCCTCCGCCATTAGGATCAGCGTCGGCTCCGAGGTCGATGACGTCATCCACAAGGTCAGTGCGCGCACGGTTTTCGTTGTGACAGCGTCGCAAATTACATGTGGTCGTGAATATGCAATGCTTGATTGATTTTTGGTGATGGACGAAGTGGGGCTGTGTTGGAGATGCTATGACGGTGCGTGCATGAAACAGTCAGCTGTGTGGACTGTCAGGAAGGTGTCACTACGCACCGAGCGAGCCCTCTGTAGATCCACCCAAAGCAGATCTCGCAACAGATGCGAACGTATTGCAATAGTAATGTAAATAAATAAATATTGCGAGAGTCCCACATAAATAAATATTGCAAAATAAAGTATCGGAGATCACAGCCGCGGCCAGTGGCGGATCGCTGTGTAAGACAGTTCTGACCTCCAGCCTGACCTCCGGGTGAGATGCAGGGCCCCGTAGCCTCCTCCCGTCACTCGAGCTCTGTATGTGGGTCGATCGAAGACGCGGTCGCCGCCGAACCTCGCTGGCCGGGCAGCAAACCAGTCGGCTTTCCGCTTCATGGCGCCGCTGATGGTGGCGGCTTTCGCGCAAATGCCAACGGTCCAGCACAGCAATTCGTCGGCGTCAGAGGCGCGGTCAGACGAACCACAGGCAGACGTCACAGGCGGGGTCAGGCGGACCACAGACAGGTGTCACAGGCGCGGTCAGGCAGACCACAGACAGGCGCCACAGGCTGGAGTCTCGCTCTCGTAAAGCAGACCGCGAAGCATTTCTGCGTTGTCTCAGACATCTGACGAGTTGCTTTGTCGACACGTCAGGTGGACCACAGATAGGTGTCACAGTCGCGGTCAGACGGACCACAGACAGGCGCCACAGGCGCGGTCAGGCGGACCACAGACAGGCGCCAAAGGCTGGAGTCTCGCTCTCGTAAAGCAGACCGCGAAGCATTTCTGCTTTATCCCAGACTTCCGACGAGTTGTTTTGTCGTTCGTTGACACGGTCACAAATACATTTGTCAGGCTTCTCGACACGAACGCAAGCATGTGTTGTTAGCAATGTCTTTCTTCCCACACAAGGACGAAGCAGAGCTGACAGGCGCAAGGACAGTCAGCATTAGAGCGTTCAGATGACGTCTGAAAGCTCAGGCAATTCCTCGCTGATAGATATGACATTTACGCATCTCCCCATCGGAGAATAGGGACCCTATGCCACGTGAGCTGCATTCCAAGCCTGCGGACAGCGCTGAGCCCCGTCAGTGCTCAGCCAACCTGCACGGTCCGGACGAAGGTGCAGCACCCGTAAGCACGCTGCGACCTGCCGTCGGCAACAGACCAGCGCTGACGCGATAAGCCTGTGCGGCGTACCGCAGCGGTGGGACTTATTGACATACCTCGGCGCCGCCAATAGCTGGGCTATTTCCGCCTTCATCGCCCGCGCTAGCGAATTGGTCATGATCTTGCCGCCGAGCGTGGTTGCCACATATTACGTCCTGCAGGGGCACGTGAGTGTGCGCTTTTGGGGATGGACACGCGCGCGAATCTGTGCTCCCACGTATATAAGCTGCGTCGTTTGTTGTTTTAGGATCTAACAGCATGACATCTACTTTAGGCATGACATATAACTTTAAGCATGCAACGCAAGCACAAAGACAACAGCGTGGTGAATTCTGAATGGGCAGAATTATGAACGTTTAGAGGTTATATCCATTGCTTTCTTGGCTCGTGACGACCTGCATTAATAATGTGCTATTCCTTCATCAACAGCGCTAAAATTAGCTGCTGAACGATCACTTAGCTGCCTGTCGGACCAGCGTGATGCGCATGCATCATTCATGCGCGCGCTACTTTCACCACGATCTGTGGCGGTGACCCCCGCGTGGGCTGACATGAACGTGTCACCGTTTCCTGAACGGCGCCGAATGACTGCGCTACAACTCAGTGTGCTCCGGCAGGCACTGTCGGTCGCGGTGCTCCACCACCCGTCACCCCTACCAACGTGACCCGACGGAAGCGCCAGAGCCCCACGCGCCCACCGACGGTGGACGTTTCAGGCTAAGCCGGAGCGTTATTCCGGCTATCGGCAAAAGCGGGGCTGGACTGGGTGGTCAACTATCGGGCCGTCGTTCTCCGGCTGATCTCGGCGCCCAGGCAACGCACAGAGCTGCGCTTTGCCAGGTTGTCCAGCCGGGGCCGGCTGGACAGGCCGACGCGGTCTGTCTCCGCAGGAACGACCGGTTGGTGTGTCCGGGAGGCACTGACTAGTCCCCTCGGGAGAGACCGGTTGGTGTGTCCAGGAGGCACTGACTGGTCCCCTCGGGAGAGACCGGTTGGTGTGTCCAGGAGGCACTGACTGGTCCCCTCGGGAGAGACCGGTTGGTGTGTCCAGGAGGCACTGACTAGTCCCCTCGGGAGATACCGGCTGGTGTATCCAGGAGGCACTGACTGGTCCCCTCGGGAGAGACCGGCTGGTCTCCTCAGGAAAGATCGGCCAGTCTCCTAAGGGGGATCACCCGGTCTCCTCGGGAGCGACTGGTCTCCTCAGGAGATTCGGACCGGTCTCCTCGGGAGAGATCGGGCGGTCCATCCAGGAGACACTGACCAGTCTCCTCAGGTGCGATCGGTCTGTCTCGCCAGGAGACATGAGCAGGTCTCCTCGGGGGAACTCGTCCGCTCTTCTCATGATACACGGACTGATCTCCGCAGCAACGGGCGGCTGGCGTGCTCAGGTTTCCTGACGATGGGCCGACCAGTGGACGGGGTCGTGGCCCTGCTCCACCGGGAGGGAAGGGCGACGCTGTTGGTGTGAGGGAGCCACAGGTAGGAGGCAAATAGATTGGCAGGAGAGCGGCGGAGTGAGATAGCTCTGCGGGAGGGCGGCTGAGTTAGTTAGCTCTGCGGGAAGGCGGCTCTTCTGAAGAGCAGCTTGAATGAGATGTCACTATTGCTGAACAGATGCGCGGTATGGGATGTTTATTCGAGGCTTCAGCCCAGTCGGTACGAGTCAGACAAATCGCAGGAGAGCATCCCTGCAGGACATCCTTCCTCAGACTGTTCTGAATACATTTCCTCCATAAAAGCACGCCCAAGAAAAGCCCTTCCACAAAAAGTCTCGTCATTTCAGCAGATTGTTTAAGAGTGCTCTTCTGTATAACGAGCTTTTCCTTGAAGCGGTTTTTCTACAGCATGTCCATTTTCCGAAGATCTTCTCCAGAACAGCTCTGCACACGGGCCGGGGGAAGCTCCGCACCAATACCATCCGCAAGCCATCACACACCCGAATGCCAGCAATATGCCAAAAAAGCCAAGTGTTTTTTTTAATCATTTCGCTGAACGTGGGACGGCACATATATGCCCCTCCTCTCTTCCTCCCCAGTGACGTTTTCGATGGTTATTGGACGATGCGAGCTTGTCTCCTAGTACTTTTGTTATCTTCTCTTGTGTAGATTACAAAGGAACTGCGAAATTTTTGGTTCCACATCATGTCAGGTCAGTGACCTAGATATGTTGTACGAGGCCATCTGGGGCTAAGATATGGTGAAATATGCGTTTTAGCTAAAAAAAAAACAACACAAAAAACCAGGAGCTGAAAGGTGTTTCTTTCGTATAAATAATTTTGCACTACAAACTGGGACGTGTTGAAGGATGCATTGTGTTCCTGAGAACTGCAGACAGTGCGGCCTCTTTACCAATTTTATATCTTCCTAGGTCGCACAGGTCGACTCGACGTAAGAAGTGTTGGCGGTTTGTATTATTCATCTTTTTGACATGTTTTAAAAGTGTCCGTGACTGCATAGGTCGGGAGCATTTTCTGTCTTCATGTGTCTTATTTTCAAGCGTGATATTTTGCTGAACTTTTCTGAACCCTTTTTTCTCTTGAGAAGCAGTGCGTCTCGAAATATTAGGTACCGTCAATATAATAGTTCGTACTGCAATGTCGTTTAACCTAAACCTCCTGGTATATTGAAGGTCGTTAACTGAGTATAACTAATGACTTACTGTGCCCATTTTACTTATGTTACGCACAAGCCTGCTTTTTTAAACATATCGACCCCAGAAGCTCGTTGTAGATCACTCCCCAAACCGAGCTTCCCGTTCCCGTTCCGAGCTTAGATTGAACTCAAAATTCGACTTGCCGGAGAGCTGATTAGTCTGGAAAATGAGCCACCAATATATGCTGATATGTTGAACAGAGTCACATTGTTTACCAAATCGTTCGGTTATTAACCGACAGGAACGACAGAGGTGATTTGGAGGCTAATTAATTGGATGCAAATTGGAAAGAAGACAGATAATCCAATATGATCATGGCGCCATTTATTTCAATGGTGTATTTTGGAGAAGTGAGAATTCTAGCAATTTCAGAAGCTATTTAATAGCGCTTACTGCGCTCCCTTCTTCTCTGTTCCTTATATCTTCTCTGTTCCTGGATAGTAAGGGAAGGGGTGGGTAACTGCTTATCCCTCTCCCTTCCGTTGTCAATTCTTCGCTGGCGTGAGCCCGCACCAGTGCGAGAGTGGTGGCACCGTGACTGGTCGGTTGATTGGTTTCGCAGAAGGTTCCAAAAACGCCCTGGAGCCGGGCTTCACAGTGCAGCGCTATCAATTTCAATAGCTTCCAAGAACGCGAGGCGCGTTAGGCGTCACCTGACCGTCCAAACCGAGGCGGCGGCCGAGTTTTGATCACCAGAGCCGCCCCACGAGGCCGCCGCACGACTTCGCCCCACTCCCTTGGTGGGGGGAGGGGGGGGGGGGGCTCACTCGACCCGAAGCGCCGCCGACGGCGAAATGAGGGCGACCGGAAACGAGCCACTTCCGGTGGAGCAGCGACGCGTGCTTGTTGCGGGGGCTTGGTGCGTGGGCGGCCTTGCAGGCGGCTGTCGCGGGACGGGTGTGCGAAATGAACGGAGGATGATCCTTCGCCGAGGCGATCATCCATCGAACGGATGTGGATGGGGATGCGACGCCATAAATTGGTCACGTGCCCATTGGAGACTCCAATCTTTCACGAAAAGCAATTCGTTTCAGATCGTTTATTTTCGGAAATGTAGTTCGTTCGTCAGATGAATGA